AAATCGTTGAAACCGTGTTGGCACTACAGTCTAAAGCGAATCAGGTTTTTCGGCCGCCATTTCGAAAGGAAAGGTCCGATGATAATGAAACGTATAGAAAAAAAACTTCTAAATATTATTGCGATGTTGTGTGAAAATTTAAAAGAAATCGGTGGAGAACTTTCGGATATTAGCCGTTTATTTTTTTTATTACATAATATTTTATTACATTTATATTTTTATTTACATAATATTTAATAGTCATATTTATTTATAACAATAAAGCTTGTCAATATCTATTTAACAAAAGAAGAAGGAAGAAAATCGGTTAATAGAGGAGTAAAAGGGGCTGAACCGTTTTGTGTTTGCCTATTTATATAATGATTTATTACTGACGAATTTAAAGTTTGTACATCAAATGTTTTTTTAAAAGGATGACATGGGGCCCACATGTTAAAATGAAACGTATGACACTTAACAAACGACTCAAACTACTTTACTCTCTTTTTGCCACATCTTCAAAACTAAAACTAAAACAGAAACTGAATGCATATACATACTTACTTAAGCCCATATGGACATACTCATCACAAATATACGGCATCGCTAAAAAGACCCACCTACAAAAACTTCAAACGTTCCAATCAAAATTATTGCGACTCATAACAAAAGCACCTTGGTACGTGAATAACAAAACTCTACATACTGACCTCCACTTTCCAACAGTTGACCAACATATAACGACCCTATATCAACGATTTTACACAAATTTAAATGGACATAATAACAGACTTAGAAGAGACATGGCCACAGCTGACATACCTCACACCATGAGGAGGAGACTAAAAAGGCGTTGGATGAGGGATCTCCTTCCTTAGACAACCTAAGTAATTGGAACAAGATAGGGAAGAGGTACTGCTGAGTACTTTCCTTCCCCATGCCTGTCATGTCATTGGATCATTATCGCCATCACATTTGCTGATTGTAAACTTATTGTTGACAGGCGCAAATATATATTTTATAGACAAAAAAAAAGAAAAGAATGTTTTTTAAGTTATCGTTTTCTATTCAACAAAAAATGTGACTAATTTTAAAAAACCTAAATCTTAAAGTTCCTACATTTCTGCTGAAAATTAAGTAGTTGTTTATATGAACTTTTTTTGTAGATATTGATGTCTACTGTCAAATTTTTAAATGCTTGTTTCACAATGTATATATTCAGGCAAGATAATTAGATGAAGGTTGTAACCGAATTGTATGACGAAAGTTTTACTCCGAGCTAAATTAAAGAGATTAAGATATCCACCGACAGAGGTCGCTAATTGCTGAAGGCTGTGCTAATCGAGGAGGCCTCGTCGCTTCAACATTGTTCTCGATTGTTTTCTTAATCTCGGCACGTGGGGGGGGGAGGGGGAGCTTTTGTGAGGATTGGAGGGGGGGGGAAGTAATCGAGTTGAAGTCAATTTGGTTCCCTTTTGTTGTGTCCTGAAGGTACCGAGGCTTAGGAAGTCGAGGCCTTTAAAATAACGAGAACCATTAACAATCCGTAGCAATCAGGGCGAGTTGCCGTTAAAACGTTATTAAAATTTTCGATTTAAGATATTAATGGGTCGTTTGTTTCACAAGTAATTTAAGTAAGTATCTGTTTTTTTCAAGGTTATCTGTTTTTCGGTGATATAGTACGTAATATAACTATACTAGGGAATATAGGATTAAATTTGTTTTGAGGAATATAATTCGTATAATTTATTTCTATCTCTCTATATTCGTTTTAAAATTGACTATCTATGTAATAATTTTTCCTGATTACGACGAAGACGAGCTTAAGATTATGTGTTTGGGTGCTTCAATAAAATGAAAGTAACAATGTTTTGAGGGAATGGATGGACCGATTTTTACGTTTTTTCTCAATTCATTCTGTAAGATCACTGTGTTGTTTTGAAATAATGTGGGCTTAAAAAACTAAATTTTTCCTTAGACTGTTGTTATACTGCGGTATGCCAAAGCTGTATAATACTGCGACAGTCCTTTTTTTATTTTTTTTTGCTTTTTAGCTTCAATATTTTAGAAAAAATCCTATTTTGTCAGGAAAATATATATATTTAAGTATTCTATAGTTGTATTTTTCTAAAGAACTGTTTAAATTGATTGTGTCCTTCCTTATCTTGCTCTTTTGGTATGATAGGAATATTGTCCATCTCTTGATATATTTCCTCCTCTTGTTGCTAAATAGTTTAAACGATATCGGGTCCTCGATCTCGTCACGTATTTTGTGTCTTTATTTTTATCAAGTCTAAGAACTTATTACTTTCGTACCTATACTAGATAAGAAAAGTATTGCGATCATGTCGAATTTCCGATATGCGGTTGTCGACGGATCAATACGTTTCAGAGGCCCCTGAGTCTGATAAACAATTCGGAGAATTTCTCTACAAAAGTATATAAAAATCGTTCATTTCGGACAACTATTAACGAAGTTACAGCTATTAAATTTCAAACGTAAAATTACGGATACATATCCTGCTGTAAGAAAGGGATGAATGAGTGAAAAAACTAAGTGAAAGTAAGAAAATCTGTTGTCCGCATCACACAAGCTTTAGTGTTTTCTCTATCTTTAACAGAAATCATTGTTTGACAAAATTAGGCTATGGCAAAAAAGTTTTTGATTAATAATATTAGAGCGTATGCTGCACTTCCATGGGGAGGTTTACATTGCATTTAGTTTATCAAATAAATCGAACTTGAATTTTTTCTTTTATCAATTTTCAGGAAAATAAATCTAATTCAATTTTTTACTTTCACTTACCTATATATGTAATATATAGTAAGGGTAAGTATTACCCTTTTTTTGAATCTGAGTTTTCAACGGAAATACACGGTTTGAGGTCCCCTGAGTCCAAATTACCAAGTCCCGCAAAATGGTCTGTGTGTGTGTGTTTGTGTTTGTCTAGCTCAACAGCCTAGCTCAAAAACGAAATGTCGTTCGGAAGTGAAATTACATATTTGAGGTTTTTATATGCTAGAGATGTTAAAGTACCTTTTCGTCAACCGGAAGTGGCACTTTATATAATGGGTTAAACACATTATTACGATTTATCTCAAAAACCGCTCTACCGATTTTGATTAAATTCATCATGTCAGTGTAAAATTAAGCAGTTTTAAATAAAATCTGGTCCTTTTTCTGATTGATGTTAAAGGGATTAAATGGCTAATTTTTAATATTAGCTTCCTCTAAAGTATCTTTATTTTTTTTTATTTGAAACAATTGACCATTTCACATTAATACCTAATATAAAAAATAGTTAAATATAAAATATGAAAGAATTTGATAATTAACCAAAGGAGAAACAAGATATCGTAACGGAGAATAGTTGTAATTAAGGAACAAGGAAGCCCATAAGATTATAACACCCTTTAATACGTATCAAGAGATTAATATTTTACGGACTCCGACAATATTATATAGATATACATATGTGGCTTTCATAAATGCTATTGTTGGTATTATTTAATATATAATTGTTTGAGATTATAGCGATGTAAATATTATAATTTATGTATATGAGGGTATTTATATAAATAAAAATACCCAAAATAAAATATAAATAAATATAGATTCTATAATTTTTACTACTACTAATTTACTACTAATTTTCACTACCCACCATTTATTCCTGGACTTTAAAGCAGCATACGACAGCGTTGATAGAACGCAACTATACTGTGCCTTGGAGGAGCTATGCATCCCTCAGAAGATCGTACGCCTAATCAAGATGACCATGGAGAGCTCGAGATGTAGAATACGCGTCGGTTCTGACGACTCCGAAGAGTTTAAAGTGAGCAGTGGGGTTAGGCAAGGGGATGCCCTCGCCTGTCTATTGTTCAACTTGGCAGAGGAGAAAGAGACTCCGGTATTCAGACCAACGATATAATCTTCAATCGCCTGACACAGCTTCTTGGTTTTGCTGATGATATTGACATAATACGTAGGTCTGAACGGGCTCTCAGAGAAGCGTTTATAGGCCTTGAAGCAGCTGCAAGACCACTTGGTCTAGAAGTCAACGAGAGGAAAACTAAGTATATGAGAGTTGGTGGTGAGGTGGATCTGAACTCTCCATTTGAGGTAGGTTCTTTTAAGTTTGAGATAGTGAAAAGTTTTATATACCTTGGGTCTGAAATTAATAGCAAAAATGACATGGCTCAAGAAATACAATGAAGGAACACGGCTGCCAATAGATGTGTCTTTGGACTTGGCCGACACTTAAGAAGTAGGTACCTCTCAAAGAAGACCAAGCTGATCATATATAAGACCCTTGTTCGGCCTGTTTTGACATATGGCTCAGAGGCTTGGACGATGATTAGAAACGATGAGATGAAGCTGAGTGTGTTTGAGCGAGGAGTCCTCAGAAGGATTTATGGTCCAGTAAAGGAGGGTGATGTCTGGAGGAAAAGAAAAAATAGGGAGCTCAATTCTCTCTATACAGACATCGACGTAGTCACGTATATTAAACTGGCCAGATTAAGGTGGGCAGGGCATGTGGCCAGAATGAGCACCGTTGAAATACCAAAGAAAATAATGATGGAGGAGCTGCACCTCGTAAGACGGGTAGGAAGGCCAAGGACGTGGTGGTTGGACAACGTGGCCTATGACGCGAGAACCCTGCTTGGTGTACGGAAATGGAGAGCTGCAGCAGAAGACAGAGCCAACTGGCGGAGGCTCTTGGAGGAGGCTCAGTCTCGGTAACGGGATGTCGTGCCACATATGATGATGATGATAATGTTTACTTCCCCTTCGCTATACTTATTTCTGCTAAGAGGGTGGTAAGTGAAAGTTGTGTGATACGCGCACCGCACCATATCTTTTTTATTTCTCGATGGACATATGTAAAGATATAAAAACTTTTCTGAAATAGATAGGAAAGTCGTCAAATTTTTTTTAAATTGACATATTTTTTTACTTTTGATACTAAAGTTTTTATTATTTTTTGCTGAATTTAATAAAAGATAATAAAATAAAAGAGTTAACACAGCGGAGTTACCTCGTACACCGCCCCTAGTGGCATGACCAGGCAGGCGACCATCAGATCCGCCACCGCGAGGCTCACTATCAGATAGTTGGCCACGCTCTGCAGGCTGCGTTCCAGCAGGATAGCCGCTATCACGAACACGTTACCTGAAATATATTGCAAATATATTTAATTAATATTAATAAATACAATTTAATAATTATACTAAATTTGTATCTCAGAGATAATACACACCACGCCTATTTTTTATTAAATAATTTAGTGATAAGCAAATTTTAATAGCGCAATGTCTTGGAACTTTGACCTTCCTTGAAAAAATACAAAAATGAAAATAGTATTTACTTCCTGTCTACAGAAATACTATTATACATATATGTAACCCGAAATTAAAAAATATCATGTCCATTTTTGTATTTGTTGAGGAAGCCTATTTTCCATAATTTTGAGCTATTAAAATTATTAGTTACTAAAATACTTAAAAATATAAAATATATATACTTATATATATATATATATATATATATATATATATATATATATATATATATATATATATATATATACTATATAAATATATATATACTAAGGAAGTTAGTCGACTGTTCTACATATCATGGGTGATAAATATTCAGGATGCAGTCTTTTTTTATTTTTTCGAACGTTTCAACCCGAACATGTGGGTCAACTTCAGGGCTGAAAATGTTTTTTTAAAATTACAATCAGAGATATAATAGTATACGACTGCTAATTATAAATAATAAACTATAGTGATTGATGGCACATGAATCTTAACTAATATTGTAATACACATATTAAAATTAAATATTAAAATGGTTATACAAACTAAAAATAAAAAAATAAAAAATAATGTATATAATCCATTTATACAAATTTGTAATATTTTTTCTCTTACTAACCGTGGTTTGAGCACTGAAGGCTTTCAAGTACTGACACATGTTTGGTAGGTAAGTAAAAAGGTGCGGGGTGGAGGATTTCCCAGTTGTCCTTTTTCAGATGGCAAAAGGTAAGTAAACATAGTTAGAGGGGAAGGGAGGGGGACCATTTATGTTTGTAGAAATATTTAAAAAAAACGATATTTATTATACACTATTTTGCGGCTATAAATATTTATTTAAACAATTTTTTATTGTTTAAATATATATATATATATAGTCCGTGGTACAGACTCCTTTTTATAGAATTATTAACACCCGCCTGAAACTTCGTAAATAGTTTCATCTCATCGTAACCTACAACTATTTTATTTTTCGTAAATAAAATTGTTTCCAACCCTTGGAATTGGAGCATTTTCAATCTGGAGGGGGGGAGGGGATAAATTTTGTTCATTTAATTAGGTACTAAAAACTCGTAAATACGCATTTGCTTTCTACTTGGATTGTAAGATAATTTGATCACAAAAGAGATAAAAAATGTATCCTGCAAAATATTGGGCCGTTTGTCCTATATAACCTCGTTATTTTGAAAATTTGGGAGTGTGGATCATGCCAAACGGCCCAATATTTTTTAAGGTCAAAACTTTTTTCTCGAGTTTATGATCAAATTATCTTACGGTGCAAGTAGAAAGTAAATGTATTTTTAGTAAGTAATTAAATAGACAAAGTTTGCCCTCCTCCAAATAGAAAACCCTCCCATTCCAAAAGTTTTCGTAAATAAAATAGATGTAGGTTATATATATATATATATATATATATATATATATATATATATATATATATATATATATATATATATTTATGCATACAATATATAGTTTTTACTTGGAATTAATTCAAGAAACCTTAAAAAACTCGCTAAGACGCTGATAAGAGAGCCAGGGCAGATCGGGCTACAATTAAATGAAGACAAAACAGAACATATGATAATAACCTGAAAATTCTACCCCAATACCCAGGATCTGCGTAGAAGGAAAATTATTCTGGAAAAATTCAAATACCTCGGCTCCACAATAACCTCAGTGAATGAATAACCAGCTCCATAAAAAATATTGTTGAATGTTTTTTAGATAACTCCGCACGATAACCGGAGCGATCTGGAACCACATACTCACACTTGGAGGAGAATGGCCAATAATGACTTGCTCACAGAAACTGGTCAATCAATATCCCATTATATGAAAGCACGGAGGTTAAGATGGGCAGGGAATGTAGATAGTAGCAATGCATCTGGAAGCCTAGAAAGAGGACCACAAGGAAGGCCAAAAAGCAGATATAGAATCAACAAAGATGTAACAGAGCTGCGTGCAGATAACTGGAAAGAAATAGACCAAGACAGGCGGAGATGGAGCAGGCTTGTTAAGGCGGCAAAAGATCTACATGGTCTGTAAGGCCAACAGAAAAAACAATTCACTTTATTACGGCCACAACAGGAGGATTAAATGTATTATTAGAATGAGTGTAAAAGTGCACACAACAAAAAGATGTTAACATTTTCAAAACCATACATTGATGACAAACGGTATAAGGAAAACCCGAAATAAATTCTACCGTGATGATCTTGTTTGTGGAGCGCTTAATGGTTTTGTCTTTAGGCCCAAAGCCGCTTACTGAGAGAAATCAGATTGTCCCAACGGAATTAGTCCTCCGGGTAGAGGGAGGGGGAGTTCCTGTCTGCGTGGCTAAGGAAGTCTTGCATTTAATTCTTAAAAAAAAAAAAAGATCCTTATGATAATAATAATCGATTTCGTATATCGCTAGTTGTTGGAAACAGTTGCTACATTGAGATGCTACATTAATCACATATGTTATAACTAAAACATATGACATAATTGGACAAAAGATTTATTATTGCAAGAGTTTGAATTGTGCTTTGTAATAATAAAGCAGATCAAACAATATCAATACCAAAATTCAAACAATAGGAAACTACGACAAGAAATCACTGAAACGGTACACACATAAACGGACAAAACATATACACCTGACATCACTAGCGGATCCAGGATTTAATTTTGGGGGGTGGCTTCAGTCCGAAACCTTTTTTTTTTTCATAAACATAACGATAATTACTTTGGAAAAACAGAAAGAAACTAACTACTTATATGAAATGGAGTTTAAGTTATTCCTTAAGTACTTTTAAATGTAATTACACGAACAATAATACTTAAGAGGTATTTTTTAAATTTGTTTTCCCATAAAACATGGTTATATTTTTCCATTTTGGGGGGGGGAGGGGCTTCAGCCCGAAAGTCCCCCTCCCCCCGTAGATCCGCCCGTGCCTGACATGACAAAACCCAACTGTATAGCAATTAGCAACTTACTTCTCACAGCAATTGCTGAATATATTTTTGAATAATTTATAAGATATCATACTTCGCAAGGTACAAACCTCTTTTTATCTGATTATTAATATCCGCCTGATACTTCGTAAATAGTTTCATCTCATAGTAACCTACAACTATTTTATTTACAAGAAAATCTTGGAATTGGGGCGTTTTCAATCTGGAGGGGAACAAACTTTGTCTATTTAATTAAGTAATCATTTGTTTTCTACTTGGATCGTAAGATAATTTTATAACAAAATCGAGAAAAAAGAAAGCCTTAAAAAATATTGAGCCGTTTAGTGTGACCTACAAATATTCAAAATAACGAGATTATATATGAAAAAAGGCACACATTTTTTTTAGGCCACCTTTTTTATCGATTTTGTGATGAAATTACCTTACCATCAAAGTAGAAAGCAAATGGGTATTTACAAGATTTTAGTACCTAATGAAATAGACAAAGTTTGCCCTCATCCATATTTTTAATTCTATTTCTAAGCGGCTTTCTTCTCTTATTTTTGTTGTAATTTCTATTATTTTTGTAATTGTATATATTGTATGAATGAGTTTCTCACATCGCAAATACTCAATGGCCTTGGTTGAGGCAAAATGTATTTTTTCTCAATAAAAAAAAGAATTACCGTAAAAAAAATATATACACACACACATATATATATATATATATATATATATATATATATATATATATATATATATATATATATATATATATATATATTTCTAAGCTATTACGTCTCTCATCCAGCTTCTTTTTAGCCTCCCAAGTGTGTTTTCGGGCATGCAGCCATACTTTGTATAAGTTCTTTAGTATGTCCATGTAAAAATTGTGAAATTGTTTATAGTGTGTATGTATGTGGTCGTTAACTGTTGTCATTTGAATGTCTTTATGTAAAGTAACGTTTGTGACCTATCATGGAGCTTTAGTTATGGTCTTGAAAGTTTAAGACTGAAAAGTTTGTAGTTTTCGTATGTGTGTCGTTTTGGCTGTCCCATAAATTTTTCAAGCGTAGTTCCATATGGTCCTTAAGTAGGTAATTGCAATTATCGAATTCAAACGTCAAATCAAGACGCTAATCATGAAATAAATCAGTATTGATGAGAAGGCCAACGTGGATCAAAGAACTCGATAAAGAGCGGATATCGATAATAAGGAGGTGGATCTAATAACTCATTGTGCTGAGAGCGGACCTCTTTGGGAGTCGGAGCCGACAGGCAGCGCTGGCTCACAGTTCCGGGTCCAAATCTCTCAACTCCATTTCCTCCTCCTCCTCCCCTTTCCGCCTCTTTTCATTTCCTTTCTTCCGCCATCATCTGTTACACACTTCCGCTACCACCTCGTCCGCCGCTAACGAGCTCTCCGACCTTGAAATATGCTTTGTCCGCGCTTCTGAGTCTTCAGGGAGAAATGAGATCTCCTATCTTGTAAGTTTTAAATTTTATTACTGTCGGTGCTCAAATATCGTTCGTTCGGTGGGAGACTGTAATAGTTGCAAATCGTTAAATTTCATTGGATAGGAAAAATATTTAGAACAATTATTATATAAATAAAATTATCTTTTTTTTTTTTTTTTTTTTTTTTTTTTTTTTTTTTTTTTTTTTTTTTTTTTATTGGTGATATTTACAACTCTATTACAAGTAAAAATACATTCAGTAAATGTGAACAAAGGAATAAAATAGCATGAAATCACATGTTGAGAAACTACCCATTGGTAGCACTCTAAAAATTATCTTAAATTTGATTATAAAGGTTTAAAATAATTCTTCCAATTTCGTTTATAAAATAATATGATCGATTAAATACGTCTATATATATATATATATATATATATATATATATATATATATGTTATGCACCTCATTCACCCTTCTTAGTGTAAATGAAAGGGTTTTTTTTTTAAACTTAGCGGTAATTGTAATATATTCAGAGATGTATGTAATTGTATATGGTGTAAACAGTATGTTTGTCTTGCAGCAGCAATACTAGTCTTGATTGTCTGTGATCTCAAGATAATTATGAAAGCATTTTTTTGAATATCCATAACATTTATATTTAAAAAAAATAGAGAATGCCAGTTGGATCACGATACCTGAAAAAATGGCAGCTGATTTAAATAAAATAAATCCAGTAATTTGAGGTTTGAAACGAAAAGTTTACAGCAGAAAATGTGGGGAAAGTTTTTATTTTTATTTTATTTAAACTTGTATATATGATTTCAAACATATTTAATACAAAATGCGGGACACCAAGAAAAAACTTTCTACAGCCATTAAGTCAATTTTTTTCGATCTTTTTTTCACCTATCACTCTTATATGATACATTAAAAAAAAATACTCTTTAAGAAATGATAGAACGTTTAATTGTGCGTAGAATGAATATAATTTGACTTAATAATTTGGTTAAGTGGTTAGTAAACCCTGATTCTTACCAAATTGTGAAAAAACTCATATGTATATATATATATATATATATATATATATATATATATATATATAGAGAGAGAGAGAGAGAGAGAGAGAGAATATTATTAATCTTTTATTGTATGGATTTGTTTTGAAAATTTTCCTTCAGTAATTAGTTTGAATAACTGATTTAGTACTGTATTAATGGTAATATGTATTGAATTTTTTTTTCTGGATGAGGAAAAGTCGGATTTAAATTAAATTTTAAATCAACAGCAGGATAAAGTAAAAATAACTAATTTGTGTTATATTCAACAAAGGTTATCTTTATCTAAAACTCCTTTGTCTGCGACATATTATGTTACCAAGATAAAGAGAGAAATGTTGAATTTAGTTAAATATGATCTCACTGTAAACGCTGAAATATTTCTTTTTGTGAGAGTTAACAGATACTGAAAAAGAGAACCTTGTCATCACCTAGGAATATTAAATGTAATTCTGGTTAAAATTATAAGATTTTTCGTTTCATATTTTCGACGTTATGATATAAATAAAAAGTTAGCCAAAAATAACCTGCTTCAGTTGTGTAGTGGTATAATATATAGAAAACTTTTCTGGGATCGGAAAATATCGGCAATTATAATAATTATAATTAACGGGTCTGCTGTCGGTAAGAATATAGGTTATGAATGGCTTTATCTGTGTAATGGAAATGAGTTCCCAGCGACATCCTTTTCTGTCTATAATTTATCATATTTTAAGATTTAAAAACCTTTTAAAAACTGTTTTATTCAAATGAAAATTAAAAATATGTTAATATTATTCTACCAAAAAAATTATAATACAATTTTTTATAACCCCCTCACATTGCACACCATTTTTTCTCTCCTAAAAAATCCTAATAAATATTTTTTTGTTTGAAAAAGGTCCTTTAAGATTATTTTTATTACAACGTCTATTAAAGAATTTCTTATTCCAGAATTCTGTATTCCAGTGTTAAAAGGTTTGCAGTTTTTCTCTCGGATAAAGTGCGTTTTTTTTGGGCTATTTTAAAGAATTTCTATTTTTATCATATCATACTTTGTTTTATAATGGTTCTCTATCTTTGGTAGTGAATAATCAAAAAATAATTTACTAAAAACAGCATTAAAATTAATATCCACAACCCCTCCGATATTACAGGAAGGAGTGTTGGCAATATTAAGGGGCAGATACTACACTACCCGCAACGCAGTCCAATCGCCAAGCATGGTCTAACTACATCAGCTGAAGGGGCCTCCGTTGTAGACCAACCAATTTTTTTTTAATGATTACTCCACGATAGGAGAAAAACAATCTTTATGTTTTTGTCTTTTTAACATTTATTTGCACACGTGGACTGTATGCTGATAATAAAATGAGTTAAATATACAGAAAAGAGTCTTTTTAGTATCCTCCTCATATTCAGGGATATGTCAGCTATAGCTCTTACTAAACAGTTTGTATGTTTGTTTAAATTTGTATGAATTGTTGATAAAGGGAAGTTATGTGATGATCAAGTTGAGGTTTAGTGTGTAGAGTTTGTTAGTCACGCATCAAGGTGCTTTCATAATTTTGATTGGAAGATTTTTGAGAAGTTTTTGTGTATGAGTCTTTGTGATATCTGCGATGAGTAAGCCCACATGGGTTTAAATTGTACCAGTACAACCAACGAAGGTTCAGTTATTTGCAAGGAAAGCCAAAATCATTTTCAAATGCCTTATTTTCCCCCAGTTAATTTATTTAATTAAAATTAAACACACTTAATAGAGGTTTTGTGTGCCCCAGAAAGATATCCGAACCCCAGGATCGATCAATGGTTGATGAAAAATTATGGGTCATCAGGCGGATTCGATATTTGTGTTTAAGCATGTAGAATATAGAATCTAATATAATATTAATACTGTACTCACTTTTTCCAAATCAAAATTGAAAATCAGACAAAAACGCAATACATACACCTACCTACTCAAGGCCATATGGACATACCCCTCACAAATTTACGCTTCTGCAAAAAAGACACACTTACAAAAACTACAGTCATTTCAATCCAAAATTTCATGACTTATAATAGGAGCTCCCTAGTACCTCAGCAACAAAACTTTACATAACGACTTACGACAATCAACTATCGACCAACACATCTCTCCACTCCATATTTCATCTTAAACTACACGGACATCACAACGGACTTATTATTAACGACATGGCTATCAGGAAACGACTAAAGAGGAGCTGGATGAGAGATCTCCTTTCTTAAATTAAGGAAATAAATCAAAAAAAGGAAGAAGTGCTGCTGGGTACTATTTTTTTCCTCATGCCTAAAATGTCAATTTTTCGTATTAGTTACAGCACATCTGCTTATTGTCAAGCTCATGACAGTTGTGGATGGAAATATGAAGACAAAAAAAAATTAATATTAGAATATAAACTAGATTGATTTTATTTTTAAAAATTAATAGTCAAATGGTTTTTTCAACCTGGTAATTGAAAGATAAGAATATAAACTAAACGAACACAAAGTTGATTATCTTCGCTATTGAAAAAGCAAAAAAGATAAAATGACTGACAATTACCTGGACAACATTAGGGAATTGCAATTCTATTCGTAACATTTTTTCGCAGTTATTTCTGGAATGCGCGCCCTGATTGCAATTTGCCGCTCTGAGTCTGAGCTGACAACGAGATTAAACGTTTTGGTCGCGGTGCAGCGGAAAGAGGTCCATGATTAACCCGGATGTCGCTGATCCATGGATTAACCAAATTGGAACCGAGGACAAAGAAACAACAAGCCCTCATCTGCCTTTTTAATTGTCTATTCTTTTGTTTGCTCCTTCAATTAGATCTTTCTGCACAGAAGTCCTGTTCGAGGTCGGGCGACATTTAAATAGGTCCAAAAGCCTCAGATTTTCTACTGAAAGGATAATCTGTTCATCCTAAGGCGAACTTCATCTGTCGGTGGATTATCCTATATTTAGTGTGTATTTCGGCATAAAATCCACTCGATTTATGATCATATTTGAAGCGTTAGTTTCCAAAAGCAAATAAACAAAGCCTATTAAAAGGCTACAAGGAATGTAAATGTTACCAACAGACATTGATTTCACTCTTTTTCTATTTCAGATTTTTAGTCAGTTAAAATAATCAAATTGTTACGAAAACAATTTTAGGCAGTGCATTATATTTTGAATTGAAGAGGATAAAAAAAAATAATTATTTTTTGTTATTACTTTCGTCTTAAATTGTTTTAAAACATTCAGTGGATTTAACTAAATACTTTTAGTAATTAAATAAAAACAGTCAAATAGATCTCTCCAAGCTGAAAAAAATTTGAAGAATGGTTAAAATAAGTATAGAATACATTTTATGAAATCACAATTAACAATTAAAATTAACGTCCCTAACCTTTGAGAATATAATGGCTATGGAATATGTTAGGATGAGAGCATATGGAAAATGTAGTCACATATATACTATTATTAAGTGCGATAGTAAGATTATAGTCTGTAGAAAATATTTTTTTTTTTCAACATCATGGCATATCACATAATGCCAGATAGACCTATTTTGATTATATCAAATTCCGTCGAATTCTTTCAATTAGGCGTGTGTTTTTGTTTCATAAGTCTATATATAAAAACACATTTCTACATACCTATAAATTATTTTCTTAACGACAAATCATAGAATTTGAAATATAATTTGCTACGTAACCAAATAGTGAAGAAGCTATACCGACTCTATCTCTTCAAGGTTTTGTTTTGACTGATTATATTTATTGACTGATTATTTTTCGATTTGGTGTTATTAAGATTAGTATTATTTATATAATCTACTATAAATTTTTATAATATATATATATATATATATATATATATATATATATTTATATATATATATATATATATATATATATATATATATATATATATATATATATATATATATTTATTATATGAATATTAGGCGATGTCTACATCGTCTTTGAAGTTTCAGTTAGAAATAAATAACGTAAGTAGGGGATAGAATATCATTTGAGTACCTTGAGGCTTTAGGAGAAGTTGAAAGAACTGATTTTATTGGCTGATTTATCACGATTTCTGTTGAACCGGCTACTTTATATTCATTATATGTCTTCTGATTTGCCCTTTTCATAATTTTATTTTATTTTCCTCAGAACTTATCAGCATTCAACATTTCTTCAATTTTACTCAGTATTTGTGTTAATTTTTTTTTTCATATTTAAAAATTGGAGTTTGATAAATGTCTTTATAGTCTGTGGATCAGACCTCTTTTTATCAAAATTTTAACATCAGTTTGAATTTTCGTAAATTTGCTTCAGCTCAGTAAAAACTATTTATTAACGAAACCTATTGGAATTAGGGCGTTTTCAATCTGGAGATCGGCAGACTTTGTCTATTTGATCAGGTGCTCAACATTTGTAAATTCCTATTTGCTTCACATTTGAATCGTAAGATAATTTGATGACAAAATCGAGAAAATAGGTGGCCTACAAAAATATTGGGCCGTTTGACGTGACCTACACCCCCAACATTTCAAAATAACGAGGTTATTTAGGCCAAGCGGTCCAATGTTTTCGTAGTCCATATTATTTCATGTTTTTTTTATCAAATTATTTTACGATTCAAGTTGAAGAAAGATGAGTATTTATATGTTTTTAGTCCCTAATTAAATAGACAAAGTTTGCCGATCTGCAGATTGAAAGCACCCTAATTCCTAGAGTTTTCCTACCTGTAGGTTACGATGAGAAGGAGCTATTCACGATGTTTCATGCGAATGGGATAAAAAGGGGAACTATTTATAGGAATGTGGATCACAAAGTATTAATTGAGACAGATTGTAAGATTTGTCTATACATAAGTTAAAAGATAAAATAAAAATGGAAAGAGATGGTCCGGGGTTGCGTTCATAAATAGGCTGAATAGTTGTAAAACTATTTTATTGAAAGCCAACGTTTCGACCCGACTTTGCAAGTCTTTTCAGGGCTAGAAGGGACAAGATACAAAAAGATAGAGAATTGTGGCAGTTACATAATATTTAGACATAATTTATAAATAATGTGAATAATCTTATTAAAATTATATCAGTAAGTGCAATAAAATATGAAAAAAGTAAGCTGTGTAACAAGATCCTAAACTGAAGTAAATAGATGATAACAATTGTTGTGTAATATATAATAAGTGAAAATGTATACTTCTACTTATCTAGAGGAAAGATTGAAAGAAAAGGAAAAAGGATATAATATGAAATAATAACGTAATGTGAAGAAAGAAAAGAAAACGGAGACCAAAAATTAGATAAATAAGTAAATAAAATGGAAGAATAAAATTAGAGACTTACGGGTGTTTTGAGCTTGGAGTTTCACTTAGAACTGGAAAAACAAGGGTAAGGTAGGTATAGGGGTAGCTAACATGTTTGAGTAATGGGGAAATTGGCTACATCTCCTTACTTTATAATGCAACGGTCAACTATTAAATATTGAATAAAATAAAAATATTTATTTAAAAACACATTTCATTTTATCTTTTCATTTCAAATAGGAAAAAGCATATTTTACTAAATACAATCATATTTTTCACATGTATGCCCAGGCATTCGACAAAGTATTGAACCAGGGACTTCTCTTTAAACTCAAAACTCTACTACCTCATACACATTACCTAATTCTCGAATATTTTCTTTGTGACAGATTTTTCACTGTCCAACAGGGTCTAGAAATTTCCTCAATTCGACCAGTGTTAGCAGGTGTACCTCATGGATCAATACTGGCTCATTTACTCTACATTATAAATAACAAACACATATCTATCAACACCGAAACATTGACCGCCACCTACGCTGATGATACAACAATTTTAACAAAACACCATAACCCCAGACTAGCCTCAATGAATTTACAAAATCAGTTACTGACATTACAAAATTGGTACTCACTTTAGAAAATAAGATTAAATCATGACAAGTCACAGCATATAATATTTAAACTTCGACGAGAAACGTGCCCACCAGTTTATATAGGAGAGAGCCAAATTCCTCAGACAAACACAATACGTTACCTTGCACTAATATCAACAGCCGGATGACTTGGAATCCTCGTCAAAATGGTTTTAACAAGCGACTGAAAATACTGTACTCACTTTTTCTGAATCGAAATTGAAAGTTCGACAAAAACTATATACATACACCTAGCTACTCAAACCCATCTGGACATGCCCCTCTCAGATTTATGGTTCGACAAAAAAAAAAAGGGAACTTTAAATCCAAAATTTTACAAGTTATGAATGGAGCTCTCTGGTACGTCTCACAACTTACATAACGCATACTACACTTACTGAATAAGAATTATGAATGCCTTCGTCGTTTGTCACAGGGGCCTGAGGTATTCCGTTGTTTCGCACCACTATTGCTGAATAGGATGGTTTCCCTTCCTTACGAAGAAAATATTTCCTAGCACATTCCCTTTACATTAATTTCAATAGTCATCGTCCGTCCTCCGCATTACATCACCTACAATTCAAAATATATATCACACCGCCTCCAAAGATCTCGTCCTTCTTGTCCTTTATATCTTTCCACAGATCTGATCATTTAAACATTCCTTCAGTTCGTTCCACTGCATTCCTGGAATTCCATCCACTAAATTCCCGCCTTGTTCATCCTTATCCTTTAAAACCTCTTATTCAATTCCTTCACAAATCCAATCAGAGGCTGGTTAAATAATACTACGTTATAAGGGATTTAATTTACTTAGAATTTTTTATTTTATTTTTATTGTTTTATTCTGTGTGAACGGTGAATTGTCATCACATCACTAAGCCATTTGTGAGAGATAAAATTTGTTTTTTTAATTTCTAATTTGTTAATTCATTGAGATGTATTTCACGTTGAAATGTTTTTTTCTTCAACACACTTCTCGTATCGATGTATATATATGTATACTTTATTTTATTTTTTCTTCGTTCCTAATTCTTTAGCATAATCACTTAAATATTTAGGGAAACATTATGTATTATCTTTATTTGTTTTTTTATATTTTTTTTTGTTTTTAGTTTTTTAACAATTTTCTTTCCTGAATATCAACAGTTTTATTATTTTTAAATTTTTATATTCCATCCTACAAATGCTTTACAAAAAATTGATTTTGCTTTCCTTTCTATTTTTCATCAGTGATTATTGTTCATCTATTTTTACTAAGATATTGGGTACGTTACTAATCCCTATTACCAATTGTCCTCGTTAATTTCGCTTAATTAATACTAATGTATACAAGTTATTGTGTTATTATTTTGTAATAAAGTCTTTTGACTAGTTATGGTTTAATTATTATGTATCAATATGTTATTCTTAAAGGGACCTTTAGTCCAGAATAAAGTGATTTGTGCTTCTTTTCTATTCTACAACCAATTTTCATTTCAAACGGACACTCGAACAGACTTATTACGACATGACAGCCACATAAGGAGGAGACTAAAAAGGAGCTGGATGAGAGATCTTCTCACCAAAATCGAGGAAATAAATAATGACCAGGAAGAGGTGCTGCTGGGTACTATCCTTCCTTATGCTTATAATGTCAATCCTTATTTAATCAGAATACATCTGCTGATTGAGAATACCATGACAACAGCGGATACATACTTAAAGGAAAAAAATCACAAATTTTGATTTTTCACAGCATAAGTCAAGAAGCTTTATATTTTGATAGTATTAAAAAATAAATTTTTATGCTCTGAATAAAAAAAAAAAATGACATTTTACGTTTTGGATATTAATGAAAAAAT